GACACCCTTACTGTCGGCGACCCTGCCAGAACACCCTTACTGTCGATTACCCTATTAGGACACCCTTACTGTCGGCGAGCCTACCAGGGTACCCTTACTGTCGGCAAGCATTCCAGGACACCATTACTGTCGGCGACCCTATCAGGAAAACGAAAACCCTTATTGTACGCGACCCTACCAGGAAACCCTCACTGTCGGCTAGCTGAGTGATCTAATGTCAGCCTATTTAGTAATTTACAGCTGTAGGCCTACTGTGAAATCTCTGCTACACACTGTAATATAGCATACAGTTCTGCTGATCAAAGAAACAATTATGAACGAAATATATAATTATACGTAATTTACACTCCGAATAATTACTCAAAACTAATGCATAGTGTGTATGGGTCGTGTACATAAATGTTAGCGATATCAGACGTCTATCAAAGGAGGTACTTTGTTTGAAATAAATACGTTTGCTGTGATTGTCCACAGAGGGTCATTACAGGACACAGCAGCACACACAATATACAGGTACTAATGTATGTTGCTAGACAATTCTCACCTATGGTTTCTAGCATCACCCAGAACATGTTTTTTTTGCGGATCTCTGTGAGTGTTGCGTTCAATGTTCGCGTGTATATGCTATATTGGATTCCGTATAATTATACGTACTTGTCGTCCGCTATGTTAATTGGATATTTTGCAATAAAACCTGAAATATTCGTAACAATAATAATGAATTAATGAGAACATGGGTAGTTTTCATTGTTGACTTTTTGCGAATAAAAGGACTAAAGCAGTTAATATACGGGAAATAGATGACGATGCAGGTTACCACAGCGGCGACAGAGAGGTGGACTGTAAAGTTGTGTGTGTCTTTTGCTGATTGATTCATAGGGGTGGTAGGTGTCGACACAAATCTGAATTAGTTTTTTTCTTAAATATTTATGCAGTTTGACGTTCGTGATAGAATAGTAATACAGTATATCTCTGATTTGTTCAGAACTTGCTAATACACATCTTATATAAATACCATATATCCTTACCGAAATATTTATTATAATGACCATTCACATTAACAGCTTCTGCTGGAGGGTTTTAACGTTTGCATTAAAATCTTACCAGCTTACCATGTTCTTATTTTATTTTAGATAAAGTTCATCAAATTGCAAAATCCCTTCACACTTTGGTTCTATATAGAAAACCCACACTTGCTAAGCGCATCACTACACCCCAGCGTCACTTCAATTATGCATTTGCATTATACAACTGTGCATATAAGTAGACATAGATGAATTGCATTTGGTAAGGTGTAAACAATTAGCCCATCGATTGAGCTGTCTATATGTATGTAAACTGTATAGACTGAGGACCAGGGATTAGTCTGGTGGGTTATATTATCGACGTATAGACCTATACATGTAACCTATGCGTCATACACCTCCGTCAGATTAGTTGTGTTCACGTCCCAGTAAGACCTTTCTGAAATGTCATGACCAACTCATGTGTTCAACAAAAACGTGAATGCCGACAGATATTGTTGTCAACGGGATACACATGTATTCACGAACGTCAATCTAAACGTATACTGTTTGTCACTTTTATTTTTTAACGATATAATCAGTCCCATAAGGTCTTCAACAGCATTTGGACCCAAGTTTGCTGAAAAGTGCACACTAGACTTTCGGTATAGCGGGAAACTTGTTTCAGATCGTAAAACATGACCCGAAGATAATGAAATAAGAATGGGTTCCTCAGAATAAATGTGAAGGGTCTATATTCATTCTGCTTAAAAAGTGACGTCAGATGTTTCTTTGTGAAATAAAACTAAAATGATAAGCAGTTCGAGAGGTATGTTAATGAAATATGATGAAGTATCATGTACTTGGTGTTTGGAAAACAGAATTGGTGTAACTTGTGTTGTCGCGTCAGCCATATGCACCTTCATGTACACCAACGGTTCCGTGAGGGACTTTTCTGACAATGGTGTCCATTGGTGTCATACTGTCTCACTTTTTGATTTCCAGCGACGTCACATCACGCTTCATCGAGACAATGTCCGACCTCACGTGTCATGTATAGTGACTGACAAAGCGTGGCCTTGATGCCCGGACCTGCTGTTTCACCTGATCTATGTCACATGTCTGGGAGAACTTGGCTAATGATGTTGGCGCAGTTCGGTCCAGCCTTTACCCAAATATTGAATGACACATCTTAAACCTGTTTACTAGTCTTGTATCGCCAATATGGCGCCAATAAGAGGCATGTCAGCGCAAATGCTGGTCATACACGATATTGACTTTGTTTATAGACTTTTGACTGTCATTTTATTTACGCCCCTTATGATGTGTTAATTTACCCAAGTCTTGTGTATAAATAACCATTAACATGACAACACATATTAGTTTACATACACACAGCGGTATTAGTGATGTTTTATCAATGCACTCGAACTTCCTCCTTATATAGTTAGGTGATAAATCTACTATATTTTGATAATTTCAGCGGTATATCGTGATTAAAATGTCGCAAATTGAGTTTTACTGGCGACGCGGTGTGGATGTTTGCGACAGTGTAATAGCGATATACCAACGCAAATTTCAAAATACTGTATTATAATTTCCGTTCTTATTCATATCAGCCAAAACCACAAAACGAAGATTTTCCTCTTAAAGATTTGGGCCACTCTGCCATGGATTTGGGACGTCTGGAGTTACATTGAGCACATTTTAGGTGACGGTATTTTCGTGACGTCATTGATGATCGATTTCATGACATGTCGGGGTCATTCGGGGTCCTTATGCATTTGGCATCTCACTTACTTGACAAAATACCACCTTTAAGTTAACGTTTTTTCTGAACAAGTCCTGTATATGTATCTCTCAATATATCACCAAACCTCTTCACATCGGTGAATGGAATGGTGGCAGTGAAACAGGGTTTTATTGTGTTTCACATCAGCATGTTCCACAGGCTTTTTTCAGGTGCATGACACGTTCCTATTAAATCACTATTTCAATGAGGTAAAATTGTATTCGAACACATGAAATAAGCACAGGAATGAAACAAACGAGTCGATCGTACATGTCGTATTTTAAACCGAGAGGATTTGATAATAAAACACATGGAACATGCAATTTGTGGAAATCGATAAGAATAGGACAAATATACTTGAGCAGTGCGATCCAATAGTGTCCATTATAAGCATTTAACGAGTAGAAACTTACAGAACACGAGCCAAACTTAGAAAATACCACCAACGCTATAATGAAGCTACGATCTTCTGAAATGTCAAATGCCTTGCTTATTTGTTTAATCATAGACGAACGAGGAAAATGGGCAATTACTCCTTCCAGCTGTCAATTTCACGTCTATCATTAAGACATTGCAGACTACGAATCTGATTATGGAAATGATGGGACGTTACTTGGTAACTTCCGTCTGTCTGCCGTAGACCAGATTGTTACGTACTTGCATAATTATGTAAGCTGTATTGAAATAATCTACCACGGGGAAAAGAACGTTGTGGTCTACAAACAAGCATGGTTAGCATATAGACGTTAAATCGTATGGTTTAACGTCGAATCAAAACGATTTTGAGTGTATCAAATTCATCATCGAGTAAGTCATATCCCTGTTTTACTCATCCGTTGATTCAAGAAACCAATTTCGAAAAGTTTCTCTACAAGAACTAACGTTTCAGATTGGATTGCGATGAACACACGTTTTCAGGCTTCTCCTGGTTGTAACCGTATTTTATACAACAAAGCAAAATAAACACGAAATTAGATAATAAAGAATAGTGAATAAACATAATTTTATCGTATGGAGTTTGAAACGTAATCATGTGTATATTATATTTCAGATTACTTGCAGTGTTTGATATAGAAATAGAATCAATAGCATGACCAACATCACTGATTTACTTATGTAATTTGACATAATGCAAAGTCGCTTTAGGTCGACATTCAGACTGAGATAAGCCTTTTTTGCTAGCATTGTGTATGTACGTACATTGATGTGACGTGTCATGTCTTAATGCCTGGCAGCATAACCTTCCCATTTTACGCCGACAATCCTTAACAGAACCTTAATGTGTTTACTTTACGTCTTAACAGATCGCCAATGTCCTTTCTCTTTACGCCTTCATATAGCTTTCTTGTTTTACCTTGTCATGTGCAAACAGCGCATTTCCTTATTTATTTTTACTTCCGGAAATACCCTCACTAATTTTATGTCATTATATTCTAATTGAACTGTTTACTTGTTTTAAACCGTCTCACATGGCCGTTATATTTTGCAGTTTGAATCTCTTGTATACCATTTTTGTATAACTGCTTGATGCCCTGGTATAGGCTTGCTAATTTTCTACTTCGCTCCTTTTTTGTACGTCTGTACATACACTTTCTATTTCGTTTTGTTTACGCCTTAAAAAGAGCTTTCCTGAATAATTTATAAATGCCCTGACTGCTGACTGAAATGTCTTTCCTATTTCATTTATTTTTGCCCCTTCGTGCCTCCTATGTCACCGATTTATGACTTCACCGATCTTGCTAGAGCATGTCTTTCATGTATGACCGGGGTTCGATTTCTGAATTGGTATAATAAAGGTATTGGGTCACCTGCTCGACCACTTGGTTTTCTCTGGGCACTCCCACATTAGGACCCTCTGTGCTATCACATCCTGTCCAACAATTGTGCTTAGTAGAAGTTTGCTCATTGCTGAAAATCAAATAAATTTTATACATTTCTTTATGCCATAGGTTATTATTCTAAATCCACTTCCTTTCAATTGATATAACCCATCTATTTCAAGACGTTTTGATTTGCCAAAACTACACATTGGCCTCTTTAAGCCCTAGTGGACCCTTTCTCTGAGCCCGAAGTGGTTGTCTCTCACATATTTTTCCATAGACGGCAGTTTCGTCAGATAATGAGACTTTAGGGTATTCCTTGAAACCAGAGATTCCTTCGTCGAAGACAATTTACTTATTCAATGTGATTTCCTGTCTTTGTAGATATTTGTATTGCCCAGCGACTGTCTATTTCTCGTGACTCTACAGACGACGATTTCGACAACACAGTGATGAAGTTGATTGGAAATGACCGAGCAAAAGCCGTAGTAATGTTTGTCAACGAAGACAATTCCAAGCGCCTTCTCCGGGCGTTAATGCGCTCAAACCGATCCGATACTCTGTGGTTCCTAGCTAGCGATAGCTGGGGCGCCAAGGTACATCCGGTTTTTGGACAGGAAGTAGCGGCTGTGGATGCCGTTACCATTCTTCCTAAGCGACACGTTATAGAAGGTAAACATGTAGGATTTATTATTACAATTAAATGCCGCTAGAAAGTGTATGTATACATGAAGTTTCCTCTAATTTAATTATTATGCATTTATTAAAAACAGCAAACAAACAAATTTAATCTGATATTATGAATCCCTTTAAATGTAATTTATAGGTTACTCGGCATACTTTATGCCAAAAACATTGTATTACTTGATTGATCTTAGTATAAACAGCATCACATTTGTTTCTTTTTTATAAACCTAGCTTTGTTCGTCCTCACTATTTAACAATCAGATGGTGGCCTACCAAATAAGAACATATGTTGATATAACATAATTTATAAGAGAATAACGACGATGAAGATTGAGACATCGTTATTTGGACATAACGTTGATTATGGCTTCGAGTTAAACGCTTAAATGACGATGTTGTTTCGAATAGCTGTTAAGTCACTATGGTTTCATTAACATTTACCATACAAAATACAGAACTTTTATCTCAATGACTGATAGCTCAAATAAAGTGTGTTAATAACTTACATTACTATAAAAGTTCTTATCATGATGAAATAAAAAATACACATGTAACAATGTACACCAATTATTCAGTATAATTGAATATTTACTATAGAACAGTATACACTATATTCCCCTGGCAAGTCGTTTCCACAACTATGATGAAATACGTTAAGGATGATAAACACGATATTATTATTTTACTTCTGTATATTTTTTGTTCTTTTCAGAGTTCGACGAGTACTTTCTGAACCTCTCTCCCGAACACAACACCCAAAACCCGTGGTTTGCAGAATACTGGGAGACAATTTTCAACTGTAGCATCAGTCGAAAAGCAAAGACTAGAAAACGGTGCTCTGGTATGGTTAATACGATTGAATAAAACAACAGCATTTCATAATGTAATGATTCATTTGTATGAGCTACATCTATTTATTCTTACTTGAAATATCATAAAAGACCTGACCGGTATTATTAATTCCTTAACAAATTGAAAATTGGTGTCACTTGTTGCGATAAAACAAAGCTGAAGGTCATACTAGGATTTAACTTATCATTAGGAGATCCAATTGGTATGATATCAAACCAAAAACGTTAATTGACTAGCTTATCACTGGGTATTACATTATTAGGCTTGCATACAAAACTGATCATTCATTATAACTGATTCGCACACTTTTAGCTCAGGTGTATATGTGTAGGCAATATTTAACAATCAAGCTAGTTGGCAAACGAAATACTAGGTCACCTGCATGGTAACAGACAATGGTAAAATCGTGCGGTTACTGATTTACGTAATACTGCTGATTCTTAATTGGTAGGATAACTTGGAGCAGATTACATTGAACTGAAGGTAATACGCGTTACATGTAAAGATAACGTGATATAGATATTGATGAAGGTAATACCAGGTCGTTTATATTTTTGCAGGTAAGGAGAACCTAAGGAGCCTCAGTGTTGGGTACGAACAGGAGGGACTGGTACAATTTGTTATAGACTCTGTGTACGCCTTAGCTCACGCTCTACACGAACTACTGGCAGATAAATGTAAGGGACAGTACAGACACTGTAACCTGTCGGGCAAGGAAATCCTCGCCTACATCAGAAATGTCACTTTCGCAGGTGAGTTACACTATTCTTGTTCTTTCCTGGTAACAAGGTAGCTGACATAAAGATTTATCCTGCCTTAGTTAACTCATCGATATCGACGTCATACCATTCGTCTACGACTTATTCGTTAATTGGCATTGGAATGCGTTCTCTCCTAGTTAGTTGACGGACAAATGTGTTCTGACTTAGTTGGCTTAGGAATACATTTTTTCCATTCTTTGGGGTTTTTTTTACCATTAGAACGTGGTCTTCTTTGCACAGTTGTCCTTAACATTCATCCTCCCTTGGTTATTGTCACAGGGATGTGTCTTGCCCTTTGATAAGCCGACAAGTAATTGTTTACTTCACTGGTTTGTTTCCAGCTAGAATTGTTCTTTTCTGGTAAGCTAACAACGGAATGTGTTCTGCCTTGGTTTGTTGTCTGGAAATGCGGGGTGGGTGACTATGGAACGAGTTTTTTTCTGGTTATGTGATCAAAGAACGTGCTCTTCTGTGGTTTGCTGATCGAAAAGTTCCTCTTTCTCTTTTAGTTGATCAAAGAACGTGTTCATCTCTGGTTCGTTGGCCTAGAATGTTATAATCTCGTCGTTAGTTGTAAATTCTAAGCTAAGCTGGAGTATAAACCTATAACCGTATACAGACAACAACTTCACACCGAAAATGTTATAGATATCAGCATATTATTTCCTTTTCATCTCTTGAATAGTTTAGGTATGTGCAAAATAGAACAAGAGACAATGCTGCTTTCACACATTTTGACAAAATTCTATCATGGTGCCTATACAGCATGACGATCACTGAAACCAAGGGGGAAAAGACATCACGTACCATAAAAATAGAGCTGGCCCAGTAACAGTTCTCAGATGGTTGTGATATTCAGTGCATACTGTTACTTTCGATTTTTATGAAGCAATAACTCAGTAAATCAAAGCGGATATCTGTTGTTGTGCAGAGAACGCTGGTTCGCATTAAGTTTTGGTTCATAATGTCGTGACTGATCTCTTCAGTAATTGTCGTTGTACATCACCCATATACTATTATATTCAAACTACAAAATAGTTCACGAAAACATGACACGTTACCATTGCCATATGTTATAATGAGAAAATCATGAACGAATCCCGTGATTCCTAAAGGGTCGTTAAGTGTATACATTGCTTTAAAAAAACAACTTTATACAACCAATACAATTCCACTTTGATTGTGGTGATCTTTAGTTCATCAAGACGGTAAACGTCCGCTGTAAAAGAAAGAGCTGTCATTTTCTATGTATGTCAGTGGTCAGGTGATTATTACATATAGCTAACTTTATAACCGAGCTCGTGTCCAAAGATGTAAAAGTACGTAATTGGTCATTCATGTGTACCTTATTTTGCTGATTTTAATCAACATCGATAGAAAATGTTAGAACGTGTATATTCTTTGGTCATATGCATATACTTACTCTCTATCGTGTTTTGCAGTTCCACTGTAAATATTAAATATGTGAGAAGTTGTCCTTTACAAAGTTTGCCTGTGCTACCGTTAATTTCTTTGCAAATATAGAATTCGATTAACAACAATCAATATTAGTTCTTTAAAAAATTGCTTGAAAGAATAATCAAATTATTTAGCAAGCCGTTGCGCATATCGGCTAATTCTATTCGAAACAACAATAATAGCATTTTCTTTTTAAAGATATGCGTATGTTGCAAAATAAATTGTTTTTTGAATAAGTTTTACTCGTCTTTGATCTTTGACGAGAACAATACTAACGGAGGGTCTACACGTTACCATTTCACAGATGTACACGTATAACAATTGTGCCGTTAACATTGCGATACGTTACAATAGAAACATATATCGATCCTAACACTGGCTCTTACTTTACAGTAATATCACACATTTTCGAATTCAATGATGACTTTGAAAATAAAAAAAAACATGACGCCTTAAGATACAAAAGGGGAAACCATTACAGAAAAGAGATTGGATAGGATGTTTTAAAATCTTTGTTCATAAATGGCCTGTAAAGCATAAACCACCAATAGAAATTGTTGATCGATCTGAATTTGTTGACGTTAGATCAAGGCTATTGTAGCTACACCTGCTTCCTCTAGTCTAATCAGAAATGAGACACGGTACCTGTCCACGTGATGAAGCCTCGCGGTTAGCTATTGTCGTGACTGCTAATGAGCCGCTTTGATTATTGTGTTTACGGAAACTCGACTGGCGTCCATCATTAGCCATTTATAATGATAAAGCTTTTGTCATATGTACTTTATTGATAACTACTGGTGATTTTAATCCGCTAACGCATCATAATGCTAAATCGTTATTCGCGAGAACTTGTCATACTGGACGCGTCAGTGTATAACAGAAGTGACACTGTTTCTAACCGGTACACTAACATAAATACTAAAGCAAACGCACTGAGTTAATAAACTAGTTAGTACACAGACCCCGAAGTAAGGAAAGTTTCTCAGCTTAGATTCAGAACTCTATTCAAGGATTCCTGTTAGTCGCATTCTGATTTTTCGTATAAATACAGCAGCCTCCCCTTAAAGTCGTTTTAGCCCCGCTGAATGTTAACACTCAAGTACACGTTTGTTGATTGTATTTTATTTATTTCACATTTCATGTTTTTGTTTCATAAAAGTCCCGCAATGTATGGTTTTCGTTTTAAAACAAAATTATCAAAGTTTTTACCATGCCGACAAAATACAGTTTCAAATGCGTTATTACGGTTTATGGTAGTTGTACAGGGATTGTCGACATCTGCAGTGGGGGAGTTTGTTTAGGAAAACAGCCATGTTAGGTGAGATGTTCCGTCAAACCAGTTATCATTATTCAATGACTTTCGTATGTTACAACCAGTAACCAAAGTCAACCTCAATCCGACATTTGCGCCAAATTGAAACTGTCACCTTTTTCCTTCGGTGTTTTTCAAAGTAGTATCAAATGGTTAAACGATGATTATCAACAACTATCTAGATTTTATTTTCACATTTGTTGGATATATTTGTAAAGTTACTGCTTGTATTTGTCAACTGTTCGGACAATGTTGATCAGAACATTGACCATATTTACTAATGAATTTTTATGCATATGTTCATTTTCATTGTTGGGACGTTTATATTCAATAACAACTATTTTATATTCAATGTTTACGAGTACGTATTTAAAAGGTCTGTCACACACTACCGATGTACCTCGCCGGGACCAAACCGGAGTAAAATATTAACAACGGCGAGAAAATCGGCAGAGCTCCGGTGAGAAAGCACTTGAAAACCAAAATTGACCGTAGCAATACCGATGAACTACCGGTGTTCTACCGATGTAGGAACCGATGTGCTACCAAAGACCACTTTTCTGTCACCTTAGTGTTACCGATGCGCCGCCGTTGTTCTACCGAGGCGCCGCCGTTGTTCTACCGATGTGCCATCGTTGACTGGAGCTATAGCGGAGTGATACCGTGGCGCATCATTAAGAACGGTAGTACACCGTTAGTACATCGGCGGTGCATCAGTACTACTTCGGTGGTATTCGGTAACATTATGGTATCACATCGGTACCGGTACGGTACACATTAAGGCCACCGGAGAGCCGCCGATCCATTACGGAGCGCTACCGGTGCTCTACCGACATTAACGAAGCCATATCGGAGTACTGCCGTTGTACCATCGTTGTAGTCCCGTTGCTCACTCCGGCAGCGTAACGGTGGAACTAAAATTTCTCGCCGATGTTCTGGCGATGTCCTGACGATGTACTACCGTTTTAGCGATGTGAAACCGTTGTGCTTCCGTACTAGTACCGATCCCCGAAATGTGTGTTCCGGTACAGCTCCGGCGACCCAAATCGGCTAGGTGTGACAGGACCTTAACGTTTGCGATTGCATTTAAATATTCACTATTTATCTATAAATATTCAGTGTTTTGCAGTGTATACTCAATATTGACAAAGTATCAGCGCAAAGGTAGTAAATATTAGTCGTCATAAGGATTATCATTAGTGATCTGATTTAATTCATTAACAATCCATTATCAACAGGTATCAGTGGTGACACTGTCCGTTTCAACGAGAAGGGAGACGGTCTAGGGAAGTATGATATCTACCAGTACCAGGCCAGAGATGATGGACGGTATGAGTATGTCTTGATCGGAGATTGGACAGACAGGTACATATTTAGACTACATATAGTCAATATCTATTAAAGCACTGAGTGATTTTCCATGTAAACGTCTAACTCGAATCGTTGTACATGTCGACAGCCACGACGATGTACCGGGATGTCAGCAAAACAAACGAAGACCGTTTCCTTGGGAAATGAGTTATGTAAAATATGGACTTAATACAACAAACTGATATAAGCAGTTCTTTGTTTCCGATAAATGAATGTCAAACCTAGCCTGTAGATCAAAAACAATAGTAAAAACATGTACGTCTATGCGTTATTTACATTTTCGAACAGCTATTAATTTACCTTGTCTGGGAATTGTTATTCATTTTAGCAGGTTAAGAGTCCACCGTGATAACATTTTCAAGATGTTTATGTACACTGTATTTAGCTTACGACCGGTTTTTATAAACGTTTGGTCAACCCTTTCTGTTTATTGTGCTTAGTTCTTAGTGTATCAGTTACAGTGGTACATTGTCTAGTCCAGGGAGCAACTATCATAGGGATCCGTACCAATGGTCATGTAATCCTACAATCACTACGTTGCTGAGCGACGAGTGTGGAGTTTTCCCCCATATCTCTTTAATGCTTCTTTCTTTCGAAAAGTTGGGTATTGTAATTATCAAAGTACCTTTGGACACTTTTGTAGGACTTACTTGTTTTAACAAACTCACGGATAGCTTTGCTATCACACTGAAATACTAAAATGGAATAATCACAAGTGTGTATTAAAGAAAATATTGTATTTCGTATTTCCTGTTTACCAGGGCTTTTTTTAATCTATATCTTCGCGGTCTGGTTTGTGCTAGAATCTGACCACAAATATAATAGCTTAAGTCAAACTGTAGTTGATAATTAAATGGCAAAATACTATTTGCCCATACTTAATTATTTCTTCTCATTAAATCCGACTCGACAACAAGCTTATTGCAAAGTGTAAATCAATTGCTGTACACAAATGTGTTTTCTAAACTAGACAATAATTGTGTGCGTTCGTCATTAGGATTAGTTTACAGCTGTGTGTTGGCTGTGGAAGATATTGTTTAGTTAAACCATGTTCGGGAGATTAGAAGCTTATCAACTTCGATCATAGAAGTGGTCATTTTATGGTCAGTGTATTTACATTATTCTCAGATAAGGTTCAGTTGCAAACAATTTTTTGTCAATATTGGTTGAGCTGTGATAACAACATGTTGACCATTATTGACCAGCAGTGATACTTCAGGTAAATAGTATTGACGTTATAAGTAATTGAAACCAACCAATTAGCTTTTATCGATTACTTTGCTGGTGCCAAGGGACAAAGCCTGCCTACTATCAGGTATTTGATTAGAAATATTTAGGGCTTTGTTTTAGGAAATAAATATTTAGAAATGTCTTCAAACCGTAGGTTTATGTTTTAACAACAAAGTTATTAGGCTCATTTTGGTTCCCCATTGACAGACAATATATTGGATTTAGTCACAGACGCCTATTATGTGTTATATACCAAAAACAGTATTGCGTAGGTTTTAAAGTTTAGATAAGAAACCATCAAAGAATTAAAAGTTTGTATAAAAAGCCTTAGGTTATTCACAGATTTTTCAGCAAATAATAAAAATGATGATATGATATCAGACGGAACTTACAGCTGAGGAAAAATCCAACCTTGAGTTAATATTTTGATATTTCTCGTCGACAAATTACAAAAATAAGATATGAACTTTCAGATCTGATTCTTGACAAGCTATCAAATTTTTTTTTAAATGGGTCGTATTTACAATACGTGGTATAATACAATGAGTAAAAGTTCGAAAGTGACAGAAACAACCAATTTCTTTTCTATATCAGCATACTTTTTGTCAGTTGTTAGAAAATCATATACGTTTTCTGAATAAGAGCTTTATGAGGACAGAGCGTTACACAATAGATTATCAATAACAAGGGACAATTATTCAGGGAATTACACAATGTCACAATGTTATAACTGACTTCAGACAGTGAAACGAGAATCAGATGTCAACATAAGTATGCAATAATGCTAACTTAATACATTGCCATGATCATATAAGTATACACTGAAATAGGCAGCTGCACGGAGCTCAATATGATTGACACGATGAGTTAGTTTTATATCAGAGGCCAACAGACGAGTAGGTCAGAACCCTACGATACCACCACTAGTAAGATTGCCGACTTTGTCTTTATATCAACCTACGTCTAAATTCCGCATTACGAGTCCATTGCATTAAGGTCAAAAGCAGACATCTGACAATATACGAAAAAAATCTCCAATCCAGCACAATTACTTTTTATAGATTCTATTGGACACTAAATTGCACAGTCCTGTCAACTTAACGTAATTTTAAGTCCATATATTTGAATATTTTTTATTCCAGAATTCGAAATTACATAATATAACGTATTACAATGAAAGAAATCACAAAAAGTTATTTTAAACAGCTCAAAAACTATGACACTAGGGTGTGCATATCGTTCTGTAAGATTTGATGTGGTGGGTTGAAACAAGTTTGTTTCAACGAAAAGTTACGCAAACATTATCATCCAGAACTAAAATGTACTTTTCTGAAACACGAATATCGCAACCAAACTGCACATGAATGGCCTTAAATCAAAACAAGAAAACTAGACAAGGTGCCAAGTTCTATATATTCTAAAATGGTGAAGAAAATTTGTAATTGTAACATTAAGCTGACCAAACTAATTGCTATTGGGCCATACCACTGACAAATATGCAGGATGAGAATTGGTCAACAGCATGGCCAGTCCGGCAATTGATGTGGACAATATTGGTCGGACAACGCACAAAGGGACCATTCAAACGTTCTGCTTCCCGATTCTGAATATCTGACAGATTTAGATTCGCAGAGATGAGCAACTGTCATACTGTGTGTATCTAGTGATGGAGCGCTACAAGCAGTTTTGTTCTGACAAGAGCTAGGAGGAAAACACCCACGACTTGTGTACTTACCGTGACAGTAACGGTCGCAGCATGACCAATCCAATTCACTGCCATTTGCATATATTTGAATGATAACCAAATTTATCAAGGAAACGCTACAAGCGTTATTATCGATTCAAAACGTAAAATGTTGAGATTGTCTTATAAAGACTATAAAGAAACTATCTTAATACCGGAATAGTACTTTATAGCACATTGAACCTGGCCAATATTCACTATGATGAACGCTTACACAGTTCGTCCTCAAGTATTTCTATTTAACTCGGGCTGTCAATACTTTTGGGATTTTTAAAGAAATGATAAACTTAATTTGCAATTGGTTGCATTTTTATTTTTAACACCGAGTCATTTTTCTTTTTAGGATAAGTAGGATAATTTATCGCTATTTTCAACTTCTGTAGAACCTCGATGTAATGTTTGTCGTTTATATAAATTCCATGTAGAAATTACATATCATATCACTTGTAAAACTGTAATATGTCACTCCTTTTAAATTCTATATAACCCCTGGTTTGTTTTAATAGTAGGGTAACAGTTTTGATTCTACGGTTTCAGTTTCTAAAGAGTCGTTTAACCTGTTCCCGAAGTTGTATTTTGCAATGATAATACTTAGTTTTTACTATCGATGTTTTAGTATTATAAACTCCGACCAATTAGTAGCAAATATCATGCGTTTGTTGAATTGCATTTAAATTGTATATTCTTAAAACACCCAATGAAAATACTGGAAAGAAAACATGTTGCAAAATTTTGCTTGTGAGTCGGTCCTACTCATATCTAGCTGTCAATAATCTAGGTGTCCCGTTAAGCGTGTAAGATTTTCAGGAAACTGCTTTCCCTTTTTTTCTATATATTTACCATCTGCTTTTTAATATGTGTTAATCGGGGTAGTGATATGAACTTCTTCAAATCATGACCATTGCCCGCAAAACCTTGTACAGGTGCAATAAAACCATTTTGAATTTTTGTACGATCGATCACATAATTAATAGTGCTTATATTCAAAAAGTTAATTGGGTTGAATCAAGTACGGTTTGTCTGAGATATGGGTCTCTATAATGCATTGATTAATTAACAGAATATAAGTAAAAAATAGTTCTAAATTAAGTGGGATTTCTCTTTGCGAGTCTATTGCATTCAATATTTTTTTCATTTTTTCTTGCTATCTTAAATATATATATTATTGTTGATTTTGACAATACTTATATCTTTATCACAATCAATTACAATGTACATACATACACAAGCAAAAACTAACAGCGAAACTAAAGGGAAGTTATATATATGGAAATATTTTTTTCTAATATTCTAGTGGTAAAGTGTTTCGACGGAATACTTTATTTGACCTCACTCTCAACCCCCAACCCCAACCCTTTTGTAGACGTCACAATCGACTTAAAGATATTGTGTGTTACGTATTCATTGCAGGAAAACTTGGTAACTTGACGAAAATGTTCAAATCTTGTTTTTGTTTTTGTTTTTATTTATGATTTTTTATTCTATTTTATTCTATTCATTTTTTCTATCATTATTCTTTTTCATTGTAAAATAGTTTTGTATATAGGTTAGAAATGATACCCTGTCGTTAAGCTTGGCAGCCTTTGGGCGACTAGTTCCTTTGTGAGTTCGCCTCTTTGTGCGTTTACAAACGTGATATATGCGACACTTATGACTCTAAATATAGGAGTTGACATCCAAGGCGAGTTCGTGGAAATCGTTTTTATACCTTTGAGATTATTCCTGATAATGAGGGTTTTAACGCTGTGTAATCAGTTTAAATACCAACCTATATATTCCGCAATATGGGTGGTTAAATTAAGTTTATAACATATAGGGGCCGCCGTGTTACGTTATATATTTGTATTGCTATTGGGACCGCGCGTTATAAAATGAACTTTCATCCCGTATGTATTAATGCATTAAGCATTACTGACCAGACAGGGTGGTCGATGGTAATAACGAGACTAGCTGTATCGGATTAAAATGACAGTCTCGGTCTAACCTGGCACAAACATTACATCTTACTTTGCGATTGACATTCATTATTTGATCCGCAGTTCTTGAGGATTTTAACATTTGCTAATAGTCGCCTTGCCAGTATGACATCAGAGCTAGCAATTAACTCATCTCTTGACTTATGAAATAACGTCATAACTTTTTAATTCTTTTGCTGATCCCTGTTGTTGCCCTTCGAATCATTTTGTGTTCTATTTTATATTGTAGTCTACGACTCAACACCAGCCTAATAAAGTGGAGTAAGGAAACGGGTGAACTTCCGAAGTCCGTGTGCAGTGACCCGTGTCCGTTCGGTTCCACCAAACTGGAAAAGGGCGAGAGCTGTTGTTGGGCTTGCATTCAATGTGCGGATAATGAATATCTAGAGGATGAATTCACATGCACGGAATGTGCGGAGGGATATCATCCAAATGTGAATAAGTCCATGTGCGTCCCACTTCCGGTATTGCATCTCGAATGGGACAGTCTATGGGTTATACTTCCGATTGTGTTTTCGAGTTTTGGGATCGTGTGCACAGTGTTAGTGGTGGTTGTGTTTATTCGTTACAATTCCACACCTGTTATCATGGCTTCTGGGCGGGAGCTTTGCTATGTTCTCCTCATAGGCATTTCCATGGCTTACGGAACATCCTTGATCATGCTGATTCGGCCTTCAATAATCCTGTGTACTCTGCGCAGACTTGGATTAGGGGTGTCACTCTGTCTTATATATGCCGCAATGTTGACCAAAACAAACCGGATATATCGAATTTTTAACAACGGGATTAAAGCAATGGTCAAGCGGCCTTCATACACTAGTCCTAGATCGCAGATTTTTATATGTATGAGCATGGTGTCTGTGCAGATCGTAGGAGGCCTCACGTGGCTCGGTTTTGAACAGCCGGACACTATGTATGTATTTCAGCAAAGTACCTTTCTAGTCCTCAAGTGTCGTGCAAGCCAAATTGCCATCATCGTGTCTCTGATGTATAACATACTCTTAATCATCATCTGTACTGTGTACGGGATTAAAACACGCAAGATCCCACAAAACTATAACGAGGCAAAGTGTATAGCATTTACTATGTACAGCACTTGCATCGTTTGGCTTGCCTTCATCCCCATCTACTTTGGGGCAAGTAGTGACTTCAAGGTAGGCATGTCTTATTGCTGTCGCTTTATATCATTCCAAATACAGCCGACTTTGGGTTTAACATTGTACGAATTCACAAAATTTATCAATATTCACTCTTCTGTCACTATAGTTGAATAATATTTGTTTATGAATTAGCTATCATGTGACTGTTTATCGCATAAAACACGAAAATTTGAATCATACGAAAAATGAAGCTTTGTAGTAGTTTCCTTCCAAAATCAATTATTAATACAAGTAAACATGATGAGTTGATAAAAAAAAAATGGTGTGAAAGTTTTTAGGGCTTTTTGTAACAACTTTGAGTTTCGACGTTATCCTTTATAAAAATGACTTAGTATGCCGATACTTACTTTGGTGATTGAAATATATTTCACGTAGTGTTCAAACGTATTTCCATCAGTAAGAAAACATAATAGCAGGCTGATGCCTAAATGAGGAAAAAACTAAACCAAACCAACAAAACATTTTTGCGCTATTTGATTATTGAGTATTAAGTATTTGCGGAACATCTTGATACTCAGCTTTGACCTTCCAACCTATTTTGTTATAGACTTGTCCTCGGGAATAACCTTTCATGTCGTTTTACACTAGACGAGACCAATATTTGCACAAAACATTCACAGAGCCCCATCACAGCTTTCAACTTGTTCTGAGTAGAAGCATTTAACAGTATTCTAACATGGACTTAGGTCATATTTGTAAATAAATATTGGAGCGGTATGAAGACCGACAAATGTCAATTGAAATGTGAGACGGCGCCGGTAGCTCTCACGTTTCGTTAAAACATTACTCGCCAAAGGCTTGGATGAAACAAGTATGTGCCTGAAACTAATCTGAACACTTTTCTAACGAACATTCTGTTGGTATACATATATATATATCCAGTTATTATAGTTATTATGATGATAAGATTAATAGACATATTCAGGGCATATGCGCTCTGCCAAGCTTATTCTATATTAAAACATGTTTTAGAGAAGATAAATGGTTTTCGGATACGTAACGTTACACATCTATCAAAGTGTCACTTGGAGCTACAACATGTGTCAAAACATATTTTCGTCTAAATACCAAATGCCCGAAACATGTAATGTTTAATAAGTTCGGGTGTGAGCTTTTAAAACCTTATGCTAGTAAATGTATATTTCTGCTGTCTTTGGTTATTGATAGGGATCTAATTCAGTATGGTATCTCACCGTAGAATGATTGATGTCGCTTAATCCGCAGACCGCTTAAATGGGATTTTTGTTTCTTAAACTGATAAATCAAAAACTAGATATACGTTAATATGATGATAGTTACTAAAACATTCACAAAACGAGGTGTGGTGTGTTGGTGGGTCTTATCATGTGATGTAAACTTCAGAAGGGAGATCTAGTGACCGTTCAATACAATGAGAACAGACACTCTCTAACTCAATACAAAATTAAACCTACTGCAAAAACACAAATACCATGTAGCGAAAGTCTCCGAGTAAAATATATATTACTTTCACTATAAAAGCAGAAATAATACTATTGTATAGATTGCTTTCTGTGACATTGTCATAAAGTTCCACAGCCCTACCAATTTGTACTTGAGTGAGCAGTTAGATCAAACTTTAAATTTTACTCATAATACTGAAATGAATCAAGGTGAGCTATGATATTCCGGAACAGCACGTGTAAGATCATATCACGTGTTATAAACACGTGTAGCGTTTAAAATGGATGCATTCTAGAGCCAGGTACCTTTTGTAGTGGAAAAAGTTAATCGAATGTTGTTACTGTAAGAACATATTCTATAGACATTTTTTGTTTACGTTTCTATTGTATTGAGTTTATGGTTAGAATGATGTCAGAACGAAGATCGATTCCTTCCAGAACAGCTATCGCGATCGTGTTACAGCTAAGTACATGTTCAGGGTATCTGATATTCATTTTAAATCAAGGATATAAAATATATCATTTGGAACGATTTCAAATATCCGCCAATGAGGTATATTGCAGTTTGTTAGGATCATTGCATATATGAGTTAATACACTTTTTTATTTCTTAATTATTTATCATTCCGTTCATTCAGTCCTTTTTATGTCCATTTTCTCCACGTATCGGCGATCCCCATTATGTCCGGTGGTAAACATGAACGAAATTGTGTGTTTCTTACACATTCGATAGGTCATACTTCAGTCACACATTATCCATAGGCTTATGTGAGGTTTTAATAAAATGAATATCGTATATAACCTTACAATATAGAATATGTACGTTATGCCTTTGGAGTATCGATACTTTTTTTGTGCGGAATCTTAAAACCGGCAAATTGCACAAGAGAAATGGACTGTTTCATCAATTGGTTACTCCTAATCAACATCTTAAAGGAATAAAGCTCATGCTGATTATAGTTTTAATCTCAGGGCGTCGTCGACCTTTTAACGACATCTGCAACAACACTAAATAATTGTGGAACGTGAAGGTTTGTAAACAGCTTCTGAAACATCGAGTGATTCCAAAACAACAAAGAAGTATTTATCCTCGTACGCTTTATTTTTTAACATCGTGATTCAATTGTTAAGCATTGTACATAGAAAGAAAAAAAAGTTTACAAACGTGTTATTTGACCTCCAAATGCATGACACTAGAACTTAACATTCACAACGACAAAACAAATACACAAAGACTCTCAAAAGGTACAAAAACAAAAATTCCCAAAAGGTAGTTAATATATAATTCGTTGACAAAATTTGCAATCTGAATTTATGTCAAACCAGCTGTAACGTTCCTAAAGTGTAAAGCTGGGAATGTTTGAAACCAGATGACGTAGAATATACTGTTTCTTCAATACTCTACAATGTACTCTTAAAAGCAATTTAACATTGACGTCAGTGTACTCTTACTCTAGTGTGTTGATGCTGTGGTTACTTGTAGGACAAGAGTATTCTTGAAAAGAACATATCTTTCTTAACTACCTTCCAAGACAACATATCCCCATATAAAAATAAAGCTTTTACTTTTAGAAATGATCCACGACAATTTGCATTGGTCGATTACGGTTAAAAGTTAACCCTTGAGAAAAGACCCACTACCAAAGATGGTAGATGGTGTCATATCCCAAAGGATTAAACCCGCATACCTTCAACCGTTTAAAGTACGCTAATCCAGTTATAGGTCTAAGACAGAGCTGGCTATTGACATCAAATTTTATACCACCTCCCTTGTTACCAATTATGAACGGCTTTTGAAAGCGAAGCGTTGCCAACTGACTTTGTAGATTCCACTTTATATTCTTAGACTCATTTTACTGCAAGATACAGAAATAGATTTGCATGTTGTACTTTGAAACGAAATAAACTGTCGTCTGGAGGGTTTGCTTTCTTGCTGGGATTACAGCTCAAAATGTTTTCCCATGGACGTAAATATTTACATGGTGGCAGTATTGATCAATTTCGTACTCACCTACTGGACTATGTATGTTTGGATGCTAGGTCTGGTGTCATTAATCCTGCAAATCAGAAAAATAAATTATTTTATCTTATCCCCCTCGAACAGAGTAGCACGTAAGCATAAACGCAACTTCTTTTGTTTTAAATTTCAAATCCGTTACCCGTTTAAAACAATATCTACACCCTACGGTGATCGGTTGTTATGTTTTCAAGTACAATTTTTAAGCGGAATTACATTTTAACTTTAAAAATGTTATGGTATAGATTATAAATGCTGCGATTGTTTTGAACACGAAAAGTACTGTTCCAAATATAAGTAATAGTTTTCAGTTTAACCTTACGATTTATTAAAATCCTTTGATTAAAAGTAAATACATTTAAAAATATTTTAATCCAAACGTATACTCAGTAGTTTTTTTTAAAGAAAAGTTCATCGTTATAATGACCTAATGTTTCTGGTGATACAGTACATGTTGTACAGAAAATCAATATTTTCTGGAAATTTTAAAAACAATTTTATTAATTATTCTGCCGCTTTTTGAGTCATTTAATCTGAAATTGTTTCTGTGTGTTGACGCTGTGGCATACTCATATTCTATCCAAATGATCGTTTTATACATTATTGCATGTGCTCTTTTTTTGGCATTGAATATGTTGAGAAAGAATATCATGTTCACGATAAAGATACAAAATGTTTATATAAAACCAATGAATATATGCATGATGCAAGAGAAAAATACCATAGCGTCAACAATTTCATCAATTTATCGCAATGTCAACACAATAAGACAAAATGTAGCCGTGTGATATGATTTTAATTGTATGTGTTGACGATGTGGTATGTGACAATGTGTGAGGACGTTCTAGTAAATGTTGTTTTTGTGTGATGACGTTCATACTATGGTAGCAGAGTACAGTAGAAATGGCTTGACCCTAAAAATAAAGGGCATGTCTCGGATAAACATGGATAGCGGATTCATCCTGCACAACACACCTACATATATATATATGTTTATAAACTACATTTTGAATACGCGTTTTTTAGAAGAATGTGTTGTTTTTTTCAAGAAGTGATTTCCCCAGATTTGGTTCTTGTGAAAACCATGGTTACCACATCAAAAAACGGAAAAAATGCATAAAAACATGATTTTTAACCCAAAATTTGACCCACGCAAGTAGTAATTTTTTTCTGAAATCTTGCCTTAAATTAAATATCACCCTCGGTCACAGAAATACTCACGTTTTAGCATAGGTCGTCAAACTTGATTTTTCACAATATGTACACATGTGCTGAGTAGAAACTAAACTACATGAAAAGCTAGCTTTTGTTGTGTAGACACAGATTCGTAAATGGCCAAAAATGTAGTCTCAAGCCAAATTCGAATTATCATTTTTTTAAATGTGAAGCCCACATAGTCCAAATCATCATGTATATTCCTGTTTTTGTTTTTTAACTTCTGATACATGTAAAATTACAGGGGTTATTCTTTGTACAAAAATATCACCCATGGCCACCGTACGCTTTTGTACACTGCTACCTATAATATACTGTTTTCTTGTGCACTGACGCTGTGC